TTTTTGGTTGCAGCCATCATTGTTGTTTGGCGGGCTGGGGCTGGATTAGATCCCGCCACCTTAGGTGTATGTGGCTGGGGCCTTAGCCACTTGAGCCACAGGCGCCAAGCCAGGGATGATTTTTTAATAAAAAGACACTCCAATGAGGTAATGCTGGAGAAGAGATCTGCATAAAGTAAGGAAAGAAGCCATGTTGATATTTAGGGGACACTGGTTCAGGTAAAGTTTTATGACAGCTTTGAGGTGGGAGACCTGAGTTTGACTATAGAACAGAGGGACATTCTGAGTCGACAGAGTGAAGGAGATCAGTAGGTTATTTAGGACCTTGCAAACCCACATAAAGACTTTGCATTTTATTCTGACTGTGGCACAGGAGAGTTCAGAGCAAAATCTCCTGATCAATTCCATTTTACAAGTAAATTCATACAGTAATTCCTAAGAAATCTCACGCATTGCTTTGCCATACTTACGGTAACTGTGGTAGCCTTACTATAAGCCACATAACCCTCAGGATTATCCATCATAAATACCACATTACCACTTGTATCAGTCACAGTCACGGAGTTTTCAGCATTGCTAAAAAAGATGAAGTTAAAATAAGCTAAGGCCATTATTAGGAAAAAACCGAGTAGCTTCAATACATTTAGCATTGAACTTGCATTATTTTGGCTAGAAGAAATTTAGCTCTAAATGATAACCTTGACCATTAGTTTGAAAATCTTTGCTATATTCAGCACATCTGAAAGTAGCTACTTCTATAAAATAAGTTTACTACTTTTCTGGCTTGGTGCCTATAGCTCTGAAGTGGCTAAGGCGCCAGCCACATACACCAGAGCTGGTGGGTTCAAATCCAGCCCACCCCGCCAAATAGTGAGAACTACAACCAAGAAATAATAGCCAGGCACTGTAGCATGTGCCTGTAGTCCCAGCTACTTGGGAGGCCGAGGCAACAGAAATTGCTTAAGCCCAGGAGCTAGAGGTTGCTGTGAGCTGTGATTTCATAGCACTCTACCTAGGGCGACAGCTTGAGGCTCTATCCCCCCAAAATAAATAAATAAAAAATAAAAAGTTCAACATACCTGCCTTTGACCTGAATCTTAACAAAATGTTCGTCACGCCAGACTTTGCTGAGTTTAAATTTATTGAATTGATTATCAACATAATATGCAAGACTTTCATCTTTTTGAGATCCAGCCTCACGAGGAACATATGAACTTTCACCCAGCAGCCTAGAGAAAGAAAATCTCTTTTTAAATGAACTTAAGTTTAAATTAAAGAAATATTGACCTCAATCAAGCAAGTTTGTTTAAATAACATTAAGGGATATTATCCCTCATAGTTAAGATAAATGAATTGTGGACCTAAAACTTCTATATTGACCAGATGGAGACAAACTTAAAACCAACAAATCGCTCCCAAAAGCTTAATTAACTTCAGACTTGTCAAAACTTCTTTATCCACTATAAAGCCTCATAAACCTCATACTAATACTATAACTCTACTCAGAGTAGCTTTAGGGCAATTAAGTAGCTTTCAACAGATGCTCTAAGAAAAATGAAAGATAGTACTATTGCTAAAGTCAAAATATACTTCAATTTTCACCTAATTTTCAGCATTCTGAACCCCAAACCTGCCCCTTATTCTGATCTCCCATTGCTCTTTCTGTATAGACTAAACCTATCAGGTCTTTGGGTGTGTGTGTCTGTACACTACAGTTGCATTGTATCCCTATAGAAATGTTCAGTAGATTAGCTAAAAATGCCAAGATTCCTTTTTTGGCAGATAAATTGGTTAGTACTTTATGAAAGAATATGAGTTAAAAAGGAAGTTTAGGGTGATGCCTGTGGCTCAAGGAGTAGGGCCATCAGCCCCATATGCTGGAGGTGGTGGGTTCAAACTTAGCCCTGGCCAAAAACTGCAACAACAACAAAACCCCACTTCGGCTTAGGGCAGTGCCTGTGGCTCAAATGAGTAGGGCGCTGGCCCCATACGCCAGAGGTGGTAAGTTCAAACCCAAGCCCTGGCCATAAACTGCAAAAAAAAAAAGGAAATTTACATGCAGTATAATAAAAAAGGGAGAGGAAGAAAGAAGGTAAGGGATGAAAAAGAAAAGGAGGGAGAGAGGGAAAAGGAAGGAAGGAAGAAAACCTAAGAATTATTTAATACCATTGAAATGCTAGAAAAATAGGAAAAGATTTGATCTTTACGGAGAGGTGCATCTATGGGAAATATTAAAGATCTAAGGATAGAAACCTTAAGAGCATTTCTTATGGGAAATATTAAAGATCTAAGGATAGAAACCTTAAGAGCATTTCTTAGAGAATGGTTTAATGGGTAAGTATTGGCTCAACGCCTGTGGCTCAGGTAGCTAAGGCATCAGCCACATACACCTAAGGTGGCGGGTTTGAATCCAACCCGGGCCCGCCAAACACCAACAATGGCTGCAACCAAAAAAAATAGCCAGGTATTGTGGCAGGCGCCCGTGGTCCCAGCTACTCGGGAGGCTAAGGCAGGAGACTTGCTTAAGCCCAGGTGTTGTAGGTGGCTGTGAGCTGTGATGCCATAGCACTCTACCCAGGGTGACAGCTTGAGGCTCTGTTTCAAAAATAAAATGGGTGAGTATCAGCAATAATCAAATACTCTTTCCAACACAGACATGACCAAAAAAAAAGAAATCAAGGCATATAGAGAGATACCACGTCAGGCTAGTTAGTCATGATCTAGAGCTGAAGGTTACTTTGCCATTGTAGATAGAAGCAGCACCCAGCATAATACTACCAAAGGTGGCTCAGCGCCTGTGGCTCAATCAGCTAGGGCGCCAGCCATGTACACCTAAGGTGGCGGATTCAAATCAAGCCCGGGCCCGCCAAACAACAATGATGGCTGCAACCAAAAAAATTAGCCAGGCGTTGTGGCGGGTGCCTGTGGTCCCAGCTACTTGGG